GACGCTGTAAACCGCTTAGAGAGGGCTGAAAGCCCTATGAAGCGGTATATAAGTCTAACTATTGCTATTGCTATTTTCTGTGGTTCCAATAACACTGTGGGTCCAGTGTTCCAATATCTCAGGGGCTGTCACAAAGAAGAGGGAGTCAAGCTATTCTTCAAAACACCCGAGGATAGAACAAGAAGCAATGGGTGGAAACTAATCAAGGAGAGAAGCAACTTAGAACTAAGGAGAAATTTCCTTTCAGTTAGAACAATTAATCAGTGGAACAAGTTGCCTCCAGAAGTTGTGAATGCCCCAACACTGGAAGTTTTAAAGAAGATGTTTGATAACTATTTGTCTGAAGTGGTGCAGGGTTTCCTGCCTAAGCAGGGGGTTGGACTAGAAGAGCTCCAAGGTCCCGTCTAACTCTGTTTTTCTGTTCTTCAACAGGTCGAGCGATTCTGGATGCAAAGCAATGCAGTGATTGTCGTTCTAGCTGGCTTTGGCTTCTCTTTACTCTTTTTTCTTGTTGAGATATTTATTGGAAACAGCAGAATGGTTTACAGTTTGGAATGGCTTCTGGCAGCTGTTCTTGTTACTGCTCAAATCTATTCCAATTACAGGTAATTAACAGGGAGGCAGCAGTTAATAATGTTTAGTGGACTGAGCACTAATGTCCATGTATTTTTCTTCTCTATTCCCCCAAGTTACTCAGGGCAATATGTACATAGAACATAGAACTTCTGCTGCCTTCCTTTTTAAATAATTTTTATTAAGCTTTTTAAGAAAAACATTAAAAAACAAAACACACATTTCCACTCATTACAGCGAGTCCATATCAGTATCGTTGATGTCATTCGTATTTACATAAGCTCTATTTCTATATTCTCGAATATATTTTATAGTGTATAATATATCATATAATCACTTAAACTATAATAATATTTACACATTTATACAGTGTTATCATAATTGTCATAAATAATACTTCAAGGGTCAAGTCTGGGCCATAAATTACATAGGGTCAGAGTTGGCTTCACTTGGAACATGCCGACATGAAGCTCCTAATATATAACTGGATTTCTTTTGAAGCTTGGCTTGAGGCTCATGATTTAATTAGGGCACCCGTTGGAACCCTGACAATGGCTACTATAGGCAAAAAAATGTGCAATTTATCAACAAGCCAGTAGGAGAAACTCCTGTATCTTGGTCGTTTTCTGTTCCTAAGCAGTTGGGTCTATTTCCAAACGGAAACTTGGGCTATCGCCATAGTTTTTTTTTAAAAAAAAA